GTGTGTTTTATGTCGTAGAATAAAACGTGAAAGTATCTTGAGCTTGTGTGAACCACTGACCTTATTTTAGGGGATTTAACCAAACTCCCATTCAAAAAAAACCATTGACTCTGGGACGATGGAACCGTAAGTGCTAAAATGCTAATTATAAAACGGATAGTTACAGTCCTTGATTCTGATTGGTTGAGCCAAGTTCGAAGCTGTTGTAAATTACTCTACAAACATACACCTTTGTTTACATTTGTGTGTTGCTCGGCAACCAATTTGTTAGAACCACAACCATTTCTGAGGAACTACATTGTTTGGCGGAAGAATAATGCTTTTATTAATATCATTACATTTTATTTGCTCTGTTTTATTTTGTGAAACCTTACTACGTATATGGAATAACCGTTTTATAAAAGCAATAAGCCCTGTGAAGCCGTGGTTTACAGTGAATTTATAACAGCTAAGGGGGTTGTAGGCACTCCGCTTCGCGTCGTACCTAACAACGCCCCTTAGCTGTTATAAATTCACTGTAAACCACAGCTTCTTGGAGCTTATTGCTTTACTCGCTTCTGGGTTTTTGACTACAAAGTGATGTCACAGTTCCACCACTCTATTAAACAGTCCATTTAACACACAGCCTTGTTTTCATTCCTGTCAAATGTTGTGCTACCCTGACTAAGGTCAGTACTTACAAGTCTAATTCTGTATACACAATTTGGCTGGATTATGTGCAGTCTCTATTTTTTAAGCATTAAATAGTTCCTCATCTTATTTATCTATTATTCATTAGTTCTCAGGTCATGGATTTCCCAGGGCATTTTGAGCAGATCTTCCAGCAGTTGAACTACCAGCGGCTGCATGGACAGCTTTGTGACTGTGTGATCATGGTTGGTAGTCGTCATTTCAAGGCCCACCGTGCCGTGCTGTCCGCCTGCAGTACGCATTTCCGAGCCCTGTTTACTGCTGCTGAGGGAGACGCCAGTACAAGGATGATCCACCTGGACTCAGAAGTGGTGACAGCTGAAGCGTTTGCCGCACTCATGGACATGATGTACACGTCCACGCTAATGCTAGGAGAGAGTAACGTGATGGATGTCTTGCTGGCGGCTTCTCATCTGCATCTAAACGCTGTGGTGAAAGCCTGTAAGCACTACCTTACAACTCGTACTCTACCCATGTCTCCTCCAGCAGACCGTAGTGGTCAGCATCACTCCGAGCAGCAGCAAGCAGCAGCGGCTGCAAACTCTCATCTCCAGCGTTCATTTCTGCTTCAACAGCTCGGCCTGAGCCTGGTCAGTTCTGCCCTGAGTGGCGCTGAAGACGGGGGAACAGGGACCAGGAGGAGAACGGGTACAGCATGCGTTAGCGGGTTGGTGGATCAGCACGGTTCTCACCCGGCACGCCGTTTCCTGAAGCGCAAACAGCCCTTGTCCCTGATCGCTTCGGAACGGGGGAGGCCACGTCTCTCCACGCAGGTGGAGGGGATTGTGGGGGAATCGGTGGGGCGAGAGGGTGGAGAGGAGCTTCTGTCTCCAGATTCCCATAGTAAAATGGTGGATGAGGTCGTCGCTGGGGTCATTCCAGGGGATGATGGAGGTTTACTAGAGCAAGATGAGTACCGAAGGGGACTGACCCATGAAGACATGCAGCTTCCTAGTCAGTCAGATGGAGGAAGGGGAGCAGGACTGGAAAAAACGTTGCTGCTGCCATGCAAAGAGGAGTACCCAGATGCGAGCCATCACCATACTGAGGGGATGAAGATAAAGAACGGAGGTGAGGAAGAAGAAGAGCAGCAGCAGCACATGCAGGTCGTGGTGAAGAGTGAGCCACTGAGTTCACCCGAGGCTGTTGATGAGACTAGCGATGTTACATCTCAGGCAGAAGGGAGTGACCAGGTAATTGTTTTTTATAATAAGCTAGTGGAACTGTAACCAATGTATTTTGTTACTGTTTTGTTACCTAACACTAACTGATTTGTGAGTGTTTCAACAGATTGTCCCAGGTAAGTATTTTGCCCTTTGAAACAAACTGCATGCCTTTCCAATCTAGAAAATTAGTAGTCAATTTAAATCCATTTCCAAGAGGCAGTGCTGTCATGATGTCAAGTCAATTAAGATCTAGTTTCATTTATTATTATTCTCCATTTTTTATATATATTGTTCCTGAAAAAAGTATACCACCACCGTTTAAAAGTTTAGGTAGGTAGGATTTTTCGTCTTGATAGAAATTAATACGCAGCAAGGATGCATTAAATTGATCAAAAGTCATAATAAAGACCTTTACATTGTTACAAAAAATATATATTTTAAAAAAATGCTGTTCTTTTGAATTTTTTGTTTAACAAAAAATCCTGATTTCGACATTGATAAAAAATGTTTCTTGAGCACCAAATCAACATACAGAGTGAATTTACATTTATTAGAATAAAAATATATTTTAAAATAGAAAAATTATGTTGAATTGTAATAATATTTCACAATATTTATATTTTTGATCAAATGCAGCATAAGAGAGCTATTTTAAAAATGTAAAAAAAAAAAAAACGGCCCAAACAAAAGCGCAAGAATGTTACAATATATTTGTCAGATTTCTTTTTTCTTCTTCTTCTTTTTTAAAACAAAAGAAGCAAAACTTGTGATACAGTTTTTCTAGATTTGTTATGTACTTGCTAGATTATTTTCTTTACTTTTTTTTTAACAAGAGCAGCAAAATTTACAATAGGTTTGTTGTTTAATTTTTCTTCTAGATCAAAATATGTTGCCATGCTTATGCATATTGCCTGTGTAGAAAATAGTTGCCTGGTTGGCGACAGTAGCCTTGTGGGCAGCGAGCCAACATGAAGCGCCATTGTGCTACGGGTGTCCCGATTTCGAATCCTGACTCGAGAACCTTTCCCGGTGCCGCCCCCCATATATCTCTCCCACTTCACTTCGTCTCTCTTATCTACACTGTCCTAAAGGCAAAAAAATGCACACAAAAAATAAAGAAAATAGTTGCCTGGGGTGTTACCAAGATGTCCAACAACTGACTTGCATTAAAGGGACTGTAAATAATTAGTATGATGTTTCCACAGGTGGAGCCAGTTGGAGAAAAGCTGGAATTGAGTCCCGAGGGCAGTGAGCGCAGCTACTCCGATCCCCAGCCCAGCTCTGGGCTGCTGATTAAAGGAAACAAGGGGTTAGGAGCAGCAGAAGACAGAGGAAGAGGAGAGGAGCTCTCCTGCAGTGATGCTCTAGAGTCCTCCTCTGGACTGCACATCTCCAGTTTCCTCAGCGCGAAGGCCTTTGCTGGCAGAGGGACATCATCTAACCTTGCTAACAGTGTTGACAATGTTCCCAACACTACAACCGGAGAGTTTCAAGCAGACCACGATTCTGCTCGCTTCTTCCTCCCAGCCGATTCCATCAACACTTCATCTTCCTCTCTGCAGCTCCTTCCAGGCGAAGCACAGGTCTGCTCTGACCTGCAGCCAGAGTCCCTTCTTCTGCGGCCACTGCATGATGGAATAGCATCATCCTCTTCATTAGCAGCGTCCCGTGGTGGATCGGTGGACCAGCTTGCACTGGAGTTCCAGCGAAACATTTTGGGATTACAGACCTTCCCTCGTTCATCCAGGGGTGGCGCCGGAGGGTGCCAAGCATTCCGGCGCATCGCTCCCAAAGTTCCACCAGGAGGTGCTTCAACACTTACAGACAGCCCTCAGCAGCATGATGCTGCCTCCTCGTCCTCTTCCTCCTCAGTGCTTTTTAATGGAGTAAACTTAATGGAGAGTTCTGTTAGCGTAGGTCAAAATATTGGCAGCTCCAACTTGAACCCGCTACCCCAGTTGACAAGAGCCTCTGCAGATGTTCTGTCAAAATGTAAGAAGGCACTCTCCGAGCACAATGTGCTAGTGGTTGAAGGCGCCAGGAAGTATGCCTGCAAGATCTGCTGTAAGACATTCCTCACTCTGACGGACTGCAAGAAACACATCCGAGTTCATACGGGAGAGCGCCCGTACGCCTGTCTGAAATGCGGCAAACGCTTTAGTCAGTCCAGTCACTTGTACAAGCACTCGAAAACAACCTGCTTACGATGGCAGAACAGTGATATGTCTAACGCCCTGCTCTAATTCAGCACAACTGCAGGCACTCCAAAGGCACCATACAAGGATGACTGGTTTCTGAGTGGGCAGATCTGTACACTGTAATCTCACATCCACCATTATAGTAGCTTTTTTTAGGTGTTTCATGGCTGTAGTATGTTGTTAACATGCTTCCAATTAACATGCCATCGATGGTACAAATTCCAGAGATAGTTCACACAGAAATGTTCCAAACCTGTGTGACCTAAAAAAAAAAAAAGAAAAAGTTTTTACATTTTTGTTTGGTTGGGGTTTTTTGTTCATACAATAAACGTCAATGGGGTCCAATGTTTTTTCTTTTTTATGGACAAATAAATTTGAATCATTCTTTTGTGTTCCTGCAGAAGAAGAAAGTTATACAGGTTTGGAACATGAGGCTGAGTAAATGATAACAGAATTTTTGGGTGGACTGTCTCTTTAAGTTTCACTGTGAAATGTTTTTAAAAGAACTGAAATGGAGAGGTCTGCTTTAAGCAGATGTCAGACAGAACCTTAGTAGCTCAATCCTGTGTCCTGATGATAGAAGCTTGCTGTGGAAGTCAGAATTGTATTGTCAGCTGTGTATTGTTGAAGTATTTTAGCTTCTGAAGTTGTCTGTATATTCTGAACTGAAGCATCAAAAGGAAGATTCATAATTTTTCATTTAGGTGCACCTTTAGGCCAGTGGTTCTCGACCATGGGCCCCACTAGGTGGCCTCAGCAAACTTCCAGGAGAATCCCAATAAGTCTTAAAATTATTACAATTTAGTTATATTAATGTAATCTTGATTAAAATTTTAAACATTTAAAGAATTACAACATTAAACTGACATCATGTTTTTGACTTTATTATGATAGAAGTGCATATCAACTTTTAATATTGTCTCAAGCTTAAGTGGGGTCCTGGAGTCAAAAAGGTTGAGAAGCACTGCCTTTCAGTTACAGTGGTTTAAGTTACAAAACTACATGAGCTGCCTGCCTGACTTTTTACAGTCTATATAGGCAGCCACTAAGGCAGCATCCTTAGAACTCAAATGAAACCTCACATTGGAACATCTGGAAGGAACATGGGCAGTTGCACTTTTGTGTTTCCCCAAGAAACACTCATAAAACTTTTGCATTCTCTCGCAAAACTTTTGCCTTAATTTTGCCCCAAAAAATTTTGCGTTATATATTAGTGCTAACACAACGTTTCTCAGGTGAACTGAAACCTTGCTAAGTTTTTAGGGAGAACACAAAACTCAAAAGCAAAAGCTTTGAAATATAATTGTTCCTCCCATCTCATTTTTTACAATCACCATGTCCATTTAGGGGCCCTGTATAACTTACAGTTAATTCCAAAGGAGTCTGACCCAAAGTCCATTTCAAGGAAAGCCTATGGTCAGCTATTTAAGTGCTATTTACTTGAATTGAGAAAACCTAACATTTCAAAAACTTTCCACATAACATATTTCAAATCGGCAACCAAGTCTGACATTAGCTGTCCCATTATACTGAAAAAGCTTATATTTCAGGTTGCCTCAGAATACTCACTGTCTCTATGGCAGCTGGAGATTTTATTTAGAAGGTGTGAATTATTCCGCCATATTTTGCATTGCACTTTCTCCCATTTATAGTAATGAGTGCACCTTCTTGGTTTATCTAAAGAAGGGGTGCAAAACTCAGTTCCTGGATGGCCACAGCCCTGCAGAGTTTTTCTAGTATTACATTCATTGTGCGGGATACATGTGATGCTGCTTTAGAATTAGGCCAGAACCAAAGATTTCCTTATGGTTCAGTCTTCACATCAAGATAATGGCTATGATGTCTTAAAATACTGTCTAGGGCAGGCTGTCAGCTTACTAGGTTTTGGAACACCGCAAATATGTAGATGAATAACCTACCACAGTCACTACTGTTACACTTTTACTGTTACAAGGTCAAATAAACTGATTTCTAGTATAAGACTAATCTTTTGACCATATGTGGAAATATGAGCAGAATTTACCTTGTTGCCTATATTTCCCTAAACTAATAAACACTTCGTTTCTTGACTGTTGATTAACACAAAATGATTCTTATTTTCTATGGACAGTAATCATTATGTTGTATTCTTGAAAATATGAATGCGGTAAGACGTATAATATGTTCCCTTTGCACAGAAGAGGTAATTGTAGGAACATTTTTTACTAAAGCACTGTGTATTTGTGCCTGTTTCTGTAGGATTCAGATTTTTTTTTTTACAGTATATTGACAAAGGCAGATAGAAATAATGCACCGAGCACTGCATAAATAGACATTTAGCCTGACATCCTGAGACCGTCCTCTGTTTTGCTTCTGGTAATGCTTATGTTGATGCCCCTGTGGCTGAAATTGATATCAGCACTGAGAGAATGTTAGACTACAGTGTTTATGGGGATGCATTTTCCACATAAGCATTTCCTAAAGAACGTGCTTACTGATTAAATTCATGTTGACGAATTTTAACGGAAGCTACTGGTGATGAGGTTGTCACTTTAAAAAAGGCTGTTACATTCATGTGTCTCTTTTGACCTTCCAGTGCACAGAGAGAAAACCATTATGTAAAAATTGCACCTTCAGTCTTTAAGGCTTTAATGTTTTACGGTTTGTGGAGTAATACATGCTAATAAAATCGAATCTTAAAAATGAACCTGCTGTAAATGAAAATAGATGTTCAGTCATTGTATTAGTGGTTGTTAATGGAAACTGTTCGGGGTAATATAACAGTCTTGTCCTAGTAGTTTGTGAGGAGTCTTGTCTTCTGTGGTGTGTTTGATGCTGTACTTAAATACTCAAACTAAGTATAACCGTTAAGATTTAGAAGCTGCCTCATTAGACACATTCCAACCTGTAAATAAGCTGTTACTGTAGAATTTGGCATTTTATTTATGCCATCTTTTATTTAACTGTAGTAATGTTTTTTTGCTTTGTGGTAAATATTGCCCGTTTGATTGGATGGACTCAAAGATTCTGAATATGAAAAATCATCACCTAACCCCTCATTAAATTCTAAATAAGACTAAATTTAAAATAAAATGGAGACATTTAAGTCTAAATTATTGTCCTTTGTTAATATTTTTTTCCTTCAAATTATTCATTAAGAATGTATGAGTGTTTAGGAAACAATTCTGTTACAAAATGCCTAGTATAATCAACTAAATATATTGGGGATGTCCAAAATGTGTTAAAGACATACCTAATCATGCAGGACTTTTTCTTTAAATAACCTGAATCACAATGGAAGTGAAACAACTGCCGTATGTGATTTATTATTATTATTATTATATTTTTTTGTACTATGACTCTTAGATCTTAAAAAAGGCCAAAAGTGAAGGAATTAATGTGAGTCTGTGTAATGGCTATTAACTGCACATTGTTAGAGCACTCATTTTTTTTCTACTGGTTTAAAAAAAAGAATTAAGTGAATAAAATCATGAAGAATGCTATACCATCAGTCTGTCTTTTCATTAAATGTGTCTTATTTGAAAACGGATGACTAAAAAGTTCTAAACTGGCGACGTATTTAAGGACTGAAAGACTTGCATGGATATTGCTGATCTTAGCTGAGTTTGCTCTTTGTAGATCATTGATCTCAGAATGTGAACCTTGCCTGTGCGCTCACAAACACTGGGCTTTTGATGTTAGAGAACAAACGTGAGTTCAACATTGTTTTTTTTTTTATAAATAGTTCATCTAAAAAAAACAAACATCTGTTACTTTATACTTAACCCATATGCTTGTATTTTTTCTTTTTTACCCAGCTATTGTTAGCTGTTTTTTTACCCAGCTATTGTTAGCTGTTTTTTACCCAGCTATTGTTAGCTGTTTTTTACCCAGCTATTGTTATTGTTATTGTTTTTGGTCCATGTAGTCCAATTTGCTGTTCATTTATTTGACATTTATGTTGTACTTCTGACATTTATAGACCCATTTTATTTATTTATTTTTGTCGGCATGTACAATGTATAAATTATCAGCCAATTTTAGACTTTTTTTTAATTATTGGTATCGGTCAACATTTTATTAGTAATTGTGATGCAAATGCTCTATATTTTTGCATTTAGATTACTTTTGCCATCATCTAATGCAATAGATAAACACTTGTATTCAAAAACACTAATATTCAAAAACACAAAACTCAAAAATGAATATAAATTTTTTATTCTGAACATTGGAATGTGATGCCAAAACTTAACTTGTAGCGTTTAAACAAATGATTTAATATTTTATGCATTATTTTGTTAATTCTTTTAGATGAACTTATACAGATTGGCCATTTATTGGCCATATTGGTTATACCATATATTATATGGTAATTTGGGGTCACTATGAACTGTACTCCTATGAAAAATAGCTACGTGAAGATTTTTCAGAAATTCTCTCTTTGTGTCCCAAAGTAGATTTTTCATTTTCGTATGAACTATTATTTAACTGTCTAGTTTTACAGTTTAAGTTCTTTAGGCATGGGTTCTCCCCTGAGTCCAGCCAGCAGGTTGTTGGCAGCAAGAGCAGACATGGCGTTCCGTGTCGTATATGAAGCACTGGCAATGTGGGGAAGAATCGCTGCAAAAACAAACATAAACACAGAATATCAGACCTGTCAAATACTTTAATGAAATGCATGCAGACGTGCATGCTTACCGCAGTTTTTGAGTGTGAAAAGAGGATGGTGTGTGGGTAGTGGTTCAGGTGTGGTGACATCCAGCCCGGCTCCAGCGATCAGACCGGTAGACAGTGCTTCATACAGATCCTCCTGATTAACCACTCCACCTCTTTACAATAACAACACAATCAGAGTCATGCACGGAAGTGGGAATAGAGCCACTAGTATACACCAGTACTGTGGTTATGTTCATCTGAAGTTAATGCTAGAAACAGTCTATGAACATGAACATTAAAGGCAGGGTATGTGATTTTTCAAAAACACTTTAGAAAACTGATTTGGGCCGAATAGCAAAACAAACTTGTAGCCAATCAGCAATAAGGGGCGTGTCTACTCGTGATGTGGAGGAGAGAGCTTTCAGTGCATGGGACGGACATTAGCCGAGCCGAGCGACAGAAAGATAGAGATGGCGGATAAAAAACAAAAGAGGAAACCGTCTGCGGAACGATAAGGCAAGAAGTAGGACCCGTGTAAATGTCGGATCAGCTTTCCAGCGCTGGAGAGAACTCAAGGAGTGGAGGCCTGCGATCGGACGCCGAGGT